TATGCGGAGTGCGTACCGCAGGGCCCATTGTATTGTGTCGTATGTGCCAAAAACGTTTCCTTAAAACTCTGTAGTACCTCCAAAAACAGTACCCGATAACCATACAATGCATGCGGAAAGCTGTCGGCGGAGTATTGAGTGTCTTTATTGGAGTCATCGGAAGATTCCTTTAAAACTCTCTAATATCGTCGCGCGCAGCTTTTCGGATTGAAAGCCCTGCCAAATCTAGCGCTTTAGCTGGAGAGGAACGCAGAGTTCGAGTATTTTGCGGTCGCACACCTCAGCCTTGACCCTGCTATTTTGCGCCTCACTGCTCCCATCGGACCACCAGCTTGTTTTCTTCCCTCTCGCCCGCCTTATGCGCGCTCTCTCGCCGTATATGCGAACGCATTTTCTTAACACCTCCTATAGGTATAAATGACTATTCACACAGTACCGTTTCACCATGGTATGAGAACTTAGGTCAAGTTACAACCTCGAGTCACCTGGACGTCCGTGAAGCGGTGAAGCTTGGTAACCAATGCAAAAAGTAGTTCAGCACGCAACATACAAAGCGCGGACGTTCCGCGACCTGATTTTGTACCAATTTGAACAAGTTAAACATTTAATCGATCTCCATCCCCAGCAAGGGTGTTGTATCTTGGTGTTCGAAAACCTTCGCGCGTTCAGTGTCGCTCTATCCTTGTTAACACCCGATACTAACACTGGAATTAATTCGGATTTACTTGACTAAGATTTGAAGAACAGCCAACACGTCGCTGTCACGCGCTGCTGTCTCAATGAGCCTTGAGAAGGTTGTAGGACTGGAGCTTTAGGTCACGCGCAGGAGGCCAGCAATGTCACAGCGTGCACACCATTGTTCCGCCAACTTTCGAATGGCAAAACTGACGAAAGTAATCCCTGGAGAAGGGGAACAAGAGGGACAAAGGACAAACATAAATCTCCAAACACAGCTAGGTGACTGGTGAGCGACCGAAAAAATCCGCCTGGTCCGGGTATCGAACCCGGGACCTCTCCATTACAAGTGGAGCGCTCTACCAACTGAGCTAACCAGGGGTTAGACGTCAGTAGAGCAAACGGGTTTTATCAGCTGCCACCAATCGAACAGCACCAAGGGTGAAGCTTGCAATTTAAGGTTATAATTATAATGCAATTAAATGCAAAGGTGCAAGCGAGCTGGACAAGAATGACGAAAGTAATCCCTGGAGAAGGGGAACAAGAGGGACAAAGGACAAACATAAATCTCCAAACACAGCTAGGTGACTGGTGAGCGACCGAAAAAATCCGCCTGGTCCGGGTATCGAACCCGGGACCTCTCCATTACAAGTGGAGCGCTCTACCAACTGAGCTAACCAGGGGTTAGACGTCAGTAGAGCAAACGGGTTTTATCAGCTGCCACCAATCGAACAGCACCAAGGGTGAAGCTTGCAATTTAAGGTTATAATTATAATGCAATTAAATGCAAAGGTGCAAGCGAGCTGGACAAGAATGACGAAAGTAATCCCTGGAGAAGGGGAACAAGAGGGACAAAGGACAAACATAAATCTGCAAACACAGCTAGGTGACTGGTGAGCGACCGAAAAAATCCGCCTGGTCCGGGTATCGAACCCGGGACCTCTCCATTACAAGTGGAGCGCTCTACCAACTGAGCTAACCAGGGGTTAGACGTCAGTAGAGCAAACGGGTTTTATCAGCTGCCACCAATCGAACAGCACCAAGGGTGAAGCTTGCAATTTAAGGTTATAATTATAATGCAATTAAATGCAAAGGTGCAAGCGAGCTGGACAAGAATGACGAAAGTAATCCCTGGAGAAGGGGAACAAGAGGGACAAAGGACAAACATAAATCTCCAAACACAGCTAGGTGACTGGTGAGCGACCGAAACCTTAAATTGCAAGCTTCACCCTTGGTGCTGTTCGATTGGTGGCAGCTGATAAAACCCGGTTGCTCTACTGACGTCTAACCCCTGGTTAGCTCAGTTGGTAGAGCGCTCCACTTGTAATGGAGAGGTCCCGGGTTCGATACCCGGACCAGGCGGATTTTTTCGGTCGCTCACCAGTCACCTAGCTGTGTTTGGAGATTTATGTTTGTCCTTTGTCCCTCTTGTTCCCCTTCTCCAGGGATTACTTTCGTCATTCTTGTCCAGCTCGCTTGCACCTTTGCATTTAATTGCATTATAATTATAACCTTAAATTGCAAGCTTCACCCTTGGTGCTGTTCGATTGGTGGCAGCTGATAAAACCCGTTTGCTCTACTGACGTCTAACCCCTGGTTAGCTCAGTTGGTAGAGCGCTCCACTTGTAATGGAGAGGTCCCGGGTTCGATACCCGGACCAGGCGGATTTTTTCGGTCGCTCACCAGTCACCTAGCTGTGTTTGGAGATTTATGTTTGTCCTTTGTCCCTCTTGTTCCCCTTCTCCAGGGATTACTTTCGTCATTCTTGTCCAGCTCGCTTGCACCTTTGCATTTAATTGCATTATAATTTCGAATGGCACTCGTGTTTAACGAGCTCCAGACGACCGTTGACGCAGCAGTCCTGGAACGTTCTTTAGTAACACAAGTGCAAAACAAGAAACTGCTAGGTGCCGCCATGTAACACGTTTCGGGGTAACAAAATACAACACTATTAGATCCATCAACGAGTAGGAGCAACAAATCTAAGTTTAAAAAAAATATATGAATAGAAGTTCCGCCGACACCGCTGAAGAAAGCATTTGTAGCACGTTGCTTATATTTATAAGGAATTTATTGTCTTGAGAGGAATTTACCTTGTGATTCAACATAAAATGAGCACGACTCCTTTATCTGTATTCCTTTAGATTATCATTTATCCATTTGTTGACGCGATCGTGGCATGAGCCTTCACCACGATACGTTATATTTTGCAAATTACCTTCAAGTAATTATCCTACTTAATTGTATCAACCAACGGCACTACGAAACGTCAGTCGCGATGTGCGTAAAGCGGCCAAATATGTTCAAGTAGTTTATTTTAAGTTTAACAGTTTCATCTAATGGCGCGAGAGCTATAGAGATGTCGTTTTTACATTGTCTGTATCAAGTTTGGGACGAAATATATGAGGGAAGAACCGCAATTGTAATTTGCCTAATCAAGTCGAATTCTGAATATTATGTAACTATTGCTTATGTGGTTTATATTGCATTTGCAGTTTTGACGGCAGTTACTCTTCGAGACTTAAACAATTTAAGCAGCTTTCGAAATGCCTACAGCCTCTGAGATATTAATTGATCAACCTTTATCGTAAAGGTTGTAGATGCTGGTACACGCAATAAAAGGTATCCCCTGTATGTTGTCTTATGACTCTTCAAATATCTAAACACATAGCTATTACTTAGACACATCCGGTCCTAGTTGAAAGCCGCGGCTACATGAATCCGACTTAAGCGCATCGACTCCAATCGTCCTTGGAATGAAGCCGACGCCTCAATGTTTCAATGGATGCGCACCAAGACCTACGCGATGGCGCCAGGGCCTGTCACATCTCAAAGTTAAAGCTGCGTTTCCGCCACCAGCTGTACCACGTGACCACGTTTTCGGGCACTTCTTCGAGCGCGGAAGCTTTTTCGACGTGCCTAGAGATTGTGCTCGCAGTATTCGATGACGTGCGCGTTACGAGACATGAAATGTCCAAACTCAAACGGCTTAGACACCGCCCCGGGCCACTCTGGAAGAGGCGATGTGAGTGCGGAGAGCCTGGCGAGGCAGATACTTTGCAAGCTCTTTGAGGGCGCCGGTACGCTTTGGTTCCCCAGACAGCGCCAACCACATACCTCACCTCAAGGATGAGGGGCGCCGGCTACACGTAGGAACGGCGCCTAGGTAGGAGCTGCTCGTTTTGCGGTACCAGTGAATGTTCTGAGCTTTCGGCGGCTTTTGCGTTTGCGGTGGTGCCTTTAGGATCTTCCACCGACGCCCAAGTGGCGATTCGCAAGGTCCGGTCGGCGCGCGGCCTCACCGAGCTTCTTATCTATATTCTGTTAACTTTTGATACCAATAAAGCTCACGATTCTTCTCGGGAGAAACCTGCGAGCGGACACAGGGCACCGCCCTCCGCCACTGCCAAAGAGATGGTCCACTGCCATGTTCTCACATGTTCACTCACTCCGGCAGCGAGGGCCTCGCCATAATCCTCCCTGTTCTGAAACCCGATGCGACCTTCGTTTACATGTGCTGAATAAATGCTTATTCGCCGTCTCGACCCATTTTTGTCTAGCGACTTGAATTCCATGTCCTTCCTTAGCCCATTATGCCGTTTACTTGACCATACTAAATCAGACAACTGCACTCGATGCGACTAGGTCGCCTTCATCTAAACGCGGCTGCAGTCAAGAGGCCAGAAATGATGCTTGCTACTCTCTTTTATGAATATAGGCCGGAACTTTGTGCTTGTGTTTGCAATTAGGTTAAGAAATTCAGCCGTGTCATGCAACACACGCTTCTGCGTGATCATATAGAGGATTGCAAAATAATGCTTCAAAAGATATGTAAATGGTACAGGAGTCACAAATAACAAATTGCTTTTTCTCACTGTGAGTAAGGCCACTGTAACCGCTTATTCACACTGGAAGCGGATCCGCGTTCGCAAAGTGGTTGCGAACGCGGTTGTATAAAGATCCCGTACAATTGCACGCGCACTTGATGTCATCGAGTGCGCGTGCAATTGCACTGGATCTTTATACAACCGCGTTCGCAACCGCTTTGCGAACGCGGATCCGCTTCCAGTGTGAATGAGCGGTAAGTGACCTCCCTCTGATATTCGTCACTGTGTTAAGCGTCATAGCGAGTGTAGTCGCGTGTGCATGCCCACACTCTAGCAGGTACCCTCTCCCTACAACAAGACTTTAAAAAAACTTTATGCCCTGCTGTTTATAATCCTCTTGACTGTTCATAGGCTTCGCCCTTTACATCATCAGAACCCGCCAGGAAAGGCTTTTTAACTAGTCTGTCAAAGCTTACTAAAAACACAAGACACAATTTTCATTGCAAGATATTTATTATAATTTTGACATGTACTGTACAACACAGATGGATGAGTGCACGCTGAGAAGTTCCACACACAGTAATAGACTGTACAGAGCAGGACACCAAAGTGCGGCTATAGGCAGCTGGTTCCCGCTCATTTCCGATTCGCATTGCAGACTGCGCCGACAATACTCCGCTCGAATAATAATCACCGTACCGAAGGAAGAAAGTACCAATTACTATTCTAATCCACGTCGTATACTTAGGCACTCTTGGCAGCGCCAAGGCTGTAGGTCAGGGGAGCGTGGGAAAGGGAGACAGCGATCGGGGCCACGTGGTGGGCGGTGTCGTAAGTGATCGGGGCGGCATAGGAGATAGGAGCCTGGATGGCGTGCACAACTGGAGAAGCATGGACGGCGTGGACAGTGACAGGGGCCTGCTGGACGGTCTTGACCACGACTGGAGCAGGCTTCACGACCACTGGGGCTGGGGCTGGGGCCTCAACGGAAGAGGAGATGATCTGGGCATCGGCTGGGTTGGAGGTCTTGGTGCCTGGCTCGTTGGTCTCAATGGTCACGTGGAAGCCGGTGGCGTCAGCGACGTACTTGACGGTACGCTGCATGCCGAATGGGTCGGTGTAGCTGTAGGAACCAGTCTTGACGTTGTTCTCGTCACCGGTTTCTTCCTGAGTGATGCGGGTGCCGTTCTCGTCGATGTTGTCGACGTTGAATCTATACGGTTGAGGAGGCTGCGTGCGAAGCGGAGACAAGGAAGGTGAAAAAAAAATGACGCATAGCAAACTTACGGGAAATATTTCACACTGTGTATGCCTTTACATATAACCACTGTGGGGTGAGTAAAATTGTACTGGTCGGTACACCATTGACTTTAATACAATATTTTCTATATTTTTCCCCACGTTTAGGCTCTTAAATCTTCTAATTCTACCTGCTAGTTCAAACCAATATCGCCATCGGGGCACCAAACTTCAGCAGAACAAATTAGATTTCGACTTATGTCCATAGAGAACGCCACGAAGCGCCATTCACCGCTGACGTACTTATTGTGTCCAACGCTTCACATGTTGTAATCGGCGATTCAAATATAAGTGTATTTGGAGGATATTAAAAAAATGGGCCTACCAAATATATTTTATTTCAGATTATGCAGAAATAAATTAAATTCTGGGTTGTATTTCTAATGTTAAATTAAATAAGTCCAACGTGAGTGATGCGCATATTTTTTTCCTAAAGTGTCGAGGATTTATTCATTTTATTATCTATTATCTACCAGCACAATGATATAGAGTGTTTGTTTACCCATACAAATGGCTCAAAGAAAAACAATGAAACCTCCACAAATGCGTTTTGTGTCAGGCGGATAACATGTTCAAGAAAGAACGAAACTAAAAGATGATTAATAAAAAATATTCACGAATAGCTTTTATAATTGGACATTTCAAGGCACATGTTTATATCGAAGAAAGAGAGAATTAATGTTGAAGGCTAGAACAGTTCTTTTAAAATCCTGCTTCAATCAAGCAGTTGGAGCCATTCACTGTCAGAATTTGTTCTTAAAATACGTCGATACCGAAACCAAACGAGCGATGCCTACCAGAAGGACAACCCTCGTTTGACGCCCGTAGGCCTCGTGCTAATGACGAATGTTGCGTCACTATTTCGCGTCACAGCACGCCGGAGCTGATTGCAGTCGGTACTCCGTGCCTGGCGAACTAAAGAGATAAACCACCTTATCGACCGCGACAAGTGGGTTTCCTATGCTTCATGATATCACTGAAAAACACGTGGACAACCGGCGTCAAGCACGGGTTGTACGTCCGGTGGGCATCGTACATTAGGTTTCTGTATCTACAAAGTTCCAGAACAATATTTGACAATGAAGACTTCAACTGCTTGCTCGATCCAGGAATTTTTTAAACTGGTTTAGCCTCCAACATTAATTGCTTTAATTTTTTCAACACAAGAATCTGATCTAAAATATATTAATAAAAATTGATAAGTAAATTTTCTATATTTAGTATTTTTAGTTGCATTCTCCCTTGAACAAAACGTCCAACGGGCCGTATAACTCATATTTGTGTTGCTTTCACGGCTTTGTTTGTGAAATATTTGAATTCGATAAAAAACTTCTTCTTGATATTGACTGAATGACATGATGTTATAAACGTGTACGTAATCTTCCCACTGGAAAAAAGTTTTAAATATGAGTAGTTATTCCGCTTAAGAAATAAACAGATTCCTTCTGGATGTAGCATTAAAATAAGGCGGTCGTTTTTTAAATATAAATTTGCCGGAAAAATTATTCGAATATTTTTATCTCGAAACTGTTTTATTCTAGAATAACTAAAAAGTTTATGTTTGAATACGCCTAGTTCCGCAACTTACAGGAATAAACCCTCTCCTGATGAAATGTAATTTTGCAAGACTAAATGTAAATAGAGTGGAATGAACAAGAGCATATCCCTTCGGTTGTATTTTGTCTGGAGAGTTATAATTCGCCACCACAGTCCACATTTTTTACATATTCTTATTTCCATGCCAATAACTTTTTACTCAGTCCCGGTGCGTATTTTGCACATTTCGAATACTATAATTGTATCACATAAGTTCAAACTGGAAGGTCAGAAACAATTTAACTTTAGTTCAAAGCCACAATCTGTGCCAGAGCTATCACCTATGGGCACCCTGCCTATTTAACTCAGTGGCCGACACGCGCGCCTCTCGCGGCGGTGTCGCACGTACTCATCGGGAAGCGACCTTGACAGTCGCAGCTCGATTGCAGTGGCGCAGAGGTGGGTGTTGCAAGGCAGACAAGCCTGCTTGGGCTATAGTATCGGCGGAAGCGCAGGATCAGCGGGAGCGGCGGCGGAGCTCTACCGATCTCTCTATAAGCTGACCCAAAGTGGCCGCGCGCGGCGCTGTTCGCTGGACGATCGGTAGTGACTCCTGGCAGACGCAGGGTGCCCATACCCGTTAATAAGTACAACTTAAAACTAAAAGCTATATGTCTAATTATCTTACGTAGTTTTCAACCGCCTGGGAAGCCACGTAGGCCACAAAGCAGCACAGGAGCACCTGAAACAAGAGTGTGCCAAATTTAGCAATGGCCAAGTTTAGGTTTGGTGCCCTTTTCACTTTACGTCCTACAGCAGCGAACGCTAAATAATTGATAGAGTAACTAAGCAACGCCGAAAGTGCATCGTCATGGCACTATGCGCGTTTTCACCTGAATCAAAAATGATTTTTTGCGCATTCCTGATACGCCGCGCGAAGTGGTTCTTACAGGATTTGGTTGTCGACGGAAGAAGCGATGCTTTTGCGTTTCAACCGCGTACGTCTTGATAAGGTAACATATATCTAGCCTAAAATTTACCTACGTATATAACAATTATCCATATAAAGGGGGAAATTAGTAATGCTTCGAGAGAAGCCGGACTTTCTTTAGTACGGTTCTTGAGGTGAAAACGAGTGTAGGTTTCTTTGAAGGTTTCTATAACCTGCTAATCCAATCACATGCGCGCACAAATTACAGGATCACAGCGCCTTCACTGGGGGGAATGGTTTAGTCGGTCATGGTAAAAGTACAAAGCAGATGCTGGCCATGACGATTGACTTTTGGCGCAGCTTAATTAGAATGATTGTGTCTTAGCGTTGGCAGCGCTCGGACGTAAACGTGAAACGGAATATGATAATCCAGGCGACCGCGTATGCTGTTTGTCGGATACACTCAGCACCTTGGTGAACATGATGTCCTGGAGTATTCCTCTTGCCGCGACGACCAAGTGGATTCCTGTTGTTTCGATGCTCAGCCGCACTTTTATATCGTGAACGACTAGCTGCGAATACTTGTTAGATCCGTCTCATTATTAGGCTTTGGAGTAAAGGAAACAATCGGCTTTTGAATTTTAATAGGCTCCTCGCACTGAATTGATCACGTGACAGGAGCCAACGGCGATAAAAGTCGTCGACTTCTTTTGAAAGAGAGGCACATATTTTTTTCCTGATTGTGATCTGCGCGGTTATTGGTTTATTCTTGTCACGCCTTTTTTTATAAGAAAGAAAGGAGAGAAGGTACATTTTTTTAAAGTTTATTAAACTATGATCGACGCGAGAGCATTTTAAATGTGCGCCAGAAAATGTCTTCTTTGTGGACTGAAAGCCAAATTTTTTTAGTAGGATACGTAACAGTGCCATTAGTCTCATTTCCTCAAGACGTGACATCATTCTTAGCACAAAGATTATTTCCAGTTCAAGGATAATCTTCAGATTTCTATTCAAACCATTCGCACAGACGCGAAGCGTGACACTATTTGTGTTTTTACTCTTATCGCCTGCTTAGACCAGTAGTTTTGAAAAGTCAAACAGACGCATGGAGTGATCTGGTTCTAAAACGTTATTTTAAGGTATAAACTTTTTCAAATACTTTTTTTTTACTTCTTGTTAATAGTTATTTTATAGCTTCTTTCCCCTTTATTTTTTCTAATTAAATATTTATTTTATTTATTTTCATTGACTCCAAAGCTCTGTCCAATTTTCCTTGGTCATCAACTAGTCCGTTCGTGCTGGGTGAAATATAAGTTTATGTCAGCCTGTTTTATGCGGTAAATTCTTTTTTATATTGGTACGTTCACCAACACCTGTTTTTTATTTCCTTCACAGCTCTGATCCGGTGGTCACATGATTCGAAACGTTCTTTTGCTTGTTGTATGTCGTCTGGTATCGGGGTATTCAACCTGCCCCAGTTTTGTTTACCCAAGCAAAATACCTTTACTGTTTAAAAATTTTAACATCAGTTATTTTGTTGTTTCGCGTGCAATGAAAAATATAATACCTATGTAATGAAGTATAGAGGACTATGGCACTTTTTAAAAACGTTACTGGTCTTCAAGCTTTCAGAAGCACGCAGGAGACGTCTTTTGTTGTTCTTATGGCACTATAATATAAAATAGTCACGTTAAGAAAACACGGCGGAAATTTGTAACAAATTTTAAAATATTTATGGGTGGAAATTGAATTTTGTCTGCTTAAATCTCTTGGAAATTTTATCATCAACCACTGCAGTCGCTTCTTGTAACAATGTTCGCGAGAACATATGCTTTTTTTTATACTTGAATAACTACCCTAATCGTACCTCCTTAATAGTTTTAATCTTTTGTGCTACCAATGAGAACTAGAAGATGATATGGCTCTTTGAATATATTTGCAGCTTGCCTTCTTTTTCTGCAAGATAATTGTATCTGATACATCAAAGATAAAAAGGGACATTGAATATAAGATTTTACAAAATAATGTCAAATTCAAAATTACAAATAAAATTTGTAATCGTATAATTAATGTTATAATTGCGAACACACTTTATTAGAATGATAGTATGCGTCGCCTCCCTTTTGAAACTGTTCAACCAAAAAAAATCTGATATACTTGTTTTTTTTACTATAAAACGTTCTACATTTGGTGCTGCTAACACTTTCTTTGGGGAAACGTGTAAGGGCCGAACACCACTGCGAATTATTTATATATTTTAAGCATTGATGAAAAACAATTGGCGCTTGGTGTCGCGCGATATTTGTGTTTTAATGAAAATTTTTAAATTCCATTCGGAATAATTTATATCAAGTAAACGTCTGGAGCGGTGTTATGTATATCTTTCGTTAACCATCTAGCGAGCAACCAATTATGTCGATTGGGCTGTGTTCCACGGGCATTCTTTTTGCTACAAATCACCCTATATATCTAAACGAGCAGTTCAGGACTAAGAAGGGTGGTGCAACTAATTTTCTAGTTTCTCGAAATACCAAATGAACACTGTGAGACTCCCCTTTTAGGGGGGTACCACTTAGAAACACAGAAGGTTCCTTGGGTCCGGATAAAGACGTGTTTATTTGACTTAGATGCCACACGCTTGCCCGAAGGCCAACAATGTTGGAGATGACGGCGCTGTCTCTTTTGACAGGATCACCAGTCGGAGTCTGCGCTGCCACTATTGACAGTATCACGGAGGGGGAGGATCAGATAAGGATATGAAGGCTCCGTCGAGCAGAGCCTCCCCCAGCGAGAGTCCCGCCCGTTGGATTAGGGCCGCCTTATATAGCCTGCGGGAATGGACGCGCCCGGGGTGGGTCGGATGTAGGTGGCTCCCCGGAGGGGCGGACGCGTCCAAGTCATGATCCCGAGGCGTGTGCCTTAGGCAAATCACCCGAGAAGGACGAGGGAAAGTCGCCCACCAGGGAATACGGCTTCGCCCTCGCATCCGGGACGCGCCCCTACCTGGCGACGTCCCACGGCCTGCCTGAGCTATGCCTAGATAGGGATGCGGGGAACCCGTGGTTCCCACACACCCCCCTCCTTGAGGCTGAGGTAGGTTTAAGAAAAATAAAAATTAACCTACCGACTCTCGAAAACAAAACAAAACAAAACAAAAACAACGCGGCGGTGCTGGCTCCCACATGCATGGGGTAACAAATAAATCGACGTTCTTCGTGACGTTCCCTGCGTTGCCGCAGCTCGCTCACCATGGCGTAGGGTTCTTGGTGGAAGGTTTGCGGGGCCCTGGGACAGGTCACGGGACGTACGCGAACAGCTGGTCCCTGTCGGCGAGCTGTCCGACCGCCGCGCGGGTCCCGTGGTCGTGGATGAAGAGCGGGCTGTCCTTGGCCAGATGACGATCCCGACGTGCACGACGACGGCGGTTCGCTGGTTCGGCCCGCGGCCGGCCGGGGTCACAGGGTTGCTTGACGATTCACGCACAGCCGCGGTCCGTGCACGGCGCTGAACCGCCGTAACCAGGGGACAGCAGCTCCCGAACGGCGCAAGGCCCTGTGCTGGTTGGGAATCGTAGACGGCGTCAGTGTAATCTCCGTGCAAAGAAGCCGACGGCCACTCTGAGGTTAAGAGATCGAAGCTCGAGGCTGCATTTGCCTGCTGTTGCGTCATTGTCTCTTGTCTCGTCGGACCCGTGTTGACTTCGAAAGTCGCGGGTGAGCTTGGCTCAGCGATGAAGGCTGGCGCGCTCCGAGAAGGAGTGCCACGGTTGCATTCCGGGCATTGTAAGTCATACCCATTAGGGAAGCTCGGCTGAAAGGACACTTGCTCATTGTGTCCGTGCGTGGCTGGCGTGGCCACAGAGCCGTTGAGTGGCATCGGGTGTCGGGCGTTTGCCTCTTCCTCTGTCCACGAAGTTCTTGGCCGGAAATTGGCCTGGTTCGCTTTGTTTGCAGTCGCCGGACAGGCCGCACGTTGGGGCGCCAGATGTGGGATTCCCCTTTTATGGGGGTACCACTTAGAAACACAGAAGGTTCCTTGGGTCCGGATAAAGACGTGTTTATTTGACTTAGATGCCACACGCTTGCCTGAAGGCCAACAATGTTGGAGATGACGGCGCTGTCTCTTTTGACCGGATCACCAGTCGGAGTCTGCGCTGCCGCTATTGACAGTATCACGGAGGGGGAGGATCAGATAAGGATATGAAGGCTCCGTCGAGCAGAGCCTCCCCCAGTGAGAGTCCCGTCCGTTGGATTAGGGCCGTCTTATATAGCCTGCGGGAATGGACGCGCCCGGGGTGGGTCGGATGTAGGTGGCTCCCCGGAGGGGCGGACGCGTCCAAGTCATGATCCCGAGGGGTGTGCCTTAGGCAAATCACCCGAGAAGGACGAGGGAAAGCCGCCCACCAGGGAATACGGCTTCGCCCTCGCATCCCGGACGCACCCCCACGTGGCGACGTCCCACGGCCTGCCTGAGCTAGGCCTAGATAGGCATGCGGGGAACCCGTGGTTCCCACAACACAATCCTTGACGTTCAAACAACTTACGAAACACGCTTTAGTTTTTCCTCTTCGAACAATAAAAGTCACAAAAAAAAGAAATCGAGAAAAACAGTCAGGATTCACCTCTTCAACTGGCAGCCAGATCGAACGTCCACGTTATCTACTGCCGATTACGTTGCGCCACAGTTCATCCACGGCTGTGCTTGAGTCAAGAGGTGTACTCTCCTTAGTGGTTGTTACTTGGAGGGTAGTTTCTTACTGCCGCCGCGGCATGATCGTGTATTCTGACCCTACCCTTTTTCCAGCGCTTTAACTTCTTTTGACCACGTACCCCAACTTTTTTTGTGTTTGCCTCTTTGCTCCGGGATAAAGTTGGAAATTTGTTCCAGATGAATTAGGCCTAGTTAGACATACAGGTCAAAAAGCTACCTGTCTGCAGAGAGTTACGCGAAGCTCCTTTTCTTTTTCTCAATCAATGACTATTCATAAAAATAATGTATTTGCAGCAAGTAAAAATTAACTCTTAGCGCGCTACAGTTACTTCAGATTGATATATTGGACACGTTTTGAATCCCGCTGGTCATGAAGTATTCAGGGTATGAAAGAAATTTCGTCTCCCATGCGGAGACAAAACGTATGACTAAGTTGTTATTTCTGTTATGCTCTATTGAAAATCTCATTTGTATGAGAAAGTTTTGTGTCCAATAAACACATATAAATCATGCAAGATATATAAGAACATATAAGAACAGTATAAGGAACTTGTGATAAGTTTCTTATAAGTGTTTGTATAGTTCTTATATATCTTGTACGACTCACTTGTGTTTATTGGACACAAGACATTTCTCATAAAAAAGGCTTTTTCACTAAAGTGCCAAATCGGTGCAGTTTGTAACATCACGATGAGTCCCGGCTTCTGGAACACTTGCATTTATTCTTACCTTGTACCGCTCTACTGCCTTGGGCAACCTAAGAGAATAATTCAACCAATCCACAAGGATCGTCCGCCTTGAAG